TATAGAACACCTCAGAACTTTTTTATCTTGTTTGTGCGACAGGTATATTCCGAGATCTAAATATCCTTTATGTCTCATTATTTTTTACTTTATCTGCTCTTATAACTTCCATCAGAATTGTAATCATAGTATTTATTTTTTAGGTGTCTCGACTACTGTTGTCACTTGAGAACACTGAGAATTCTAGTTCTGTGTGTGGCCTGGACTTACAGCAGGTGGGGGATGACTTCCACTCATTTAAAACAAGACTCTGTCAAGTTACTCCAGGTGAACTCCTCCAAGAATTAAGACACATTATGGGGCCCCAAGTGTCACAGGTATGAGGAAACATTTTATGTTCATGTACAAACTTTTGATTATCGTTGGTATTATTGCATGAACCAGAGATTATCAAAATTATTCAAAAACTACTCTCTGACCTTCTTTATAATTTCCTCAAGAAGACTGTGTATATTAATTCTTATATTTTATTTGGTATTACTCCACAAATTTAATGCTGTTCCTCCTATCATAAGATACAGTAGGTTCACCCTGAGCCGAATCCCACCTCCACATATCTTAGTGACCAATTGTTAATAAATGCTGGTGAATTTCAAACATTTCATGACACTTCTAGGACATCTTGTAATGGTGTTAAGTATGCTATAAATGCCATGAAGTATTCAAGACCTTGGACTGTGTATTATAGTTGTAATAATCCTTTCACAGAACCCTTGGGATTTATCCTTAGAAGAAGTCATCAACTCAAGTGTGGTTGCTTCTTCACTGCTGATGGAACAGGTTCAAAATGGGTCTTTGTTGGAAAAATTTAGCAGACCTGTTGAATATTTGGGTCTTGAGAAGTGGGCCAAGTTACCTCAGGAGGTGTTTAACATCACATCAGAGGAAATGTTGGACAATAGGTGAGTGATGGTGAAGGTGAAACACAACTTAGGTGCTGTAGTTGATAGTTGAGAGTTTTTCATAACTTGCTGGAGTAATCTCACTTTTTCTTAAATTACTTGTCTTTTCTTATGATAAATTGTCAGTGTTTTAATATAAACTTTTAATTCATTTATGTGATTATCATGTGGAAGAACAGTGACACAGTTGTCTTCATTAGTCTCCCTGCCTGCAGGGACAGATCCAAGGGGGGGGTCCTGGGGATCTGGACCCCCCCCTTATCATCAGAAAATTCCAATAATTTTTCTTTAATGCAGTAATGTACTCAGGCATTTTTGTAGAGTAAAAACAAAAATTTTTTATTGACCTCGGAATATCTCCTAATATCAAGTGCATATGGCCTCAAAATGCCCATGATATTAGTCAGAGCTGGGTGGGTTCACTGTGCTCGCCATGTTCCCCCCACCCACAACTTCTTGGAACCCCACTTTGATATTCCTGGATCTGCCCCTGGCCTGTCTGAGCCATGATTGTTAGGATATTCCTTCTATTTGTCCTGAATGTTTTCCTAATGGAGCTAAAGGCATGTTTGAATGTGAAGTTCACTGTCCTCATAATTATCTTGTAAACCTTCTTAGATTCTTTGTCATGGTTGTTAGCTTGTCGGGATAACACAATCTCTTGTTAGGTAAAACTTCAAAGCATGATAATGTAAGTTTGTTTTATGAGGTCTATAGTGCTTTTGAACAGTAGAAGTATTTCATATAATTTTCTTTTTAATATTTTCAAGTATATTTTTTTGTAGTTAAAAGATGAAAAGATGAGTGTGGTGAAATGAAGCAGTGGAGTTGGCAGTTAAGCTCATGAAGAATACATATGTAAAGGTCTCTAGAAGAACATATCAGAAGTAATTAGGAATCAGAGTTATCCAACATATTTTGCACTATAGGTACATCAGTTTATTCTCTCATGTGTATGTACAGTACCATGATAGTGGCGACTGTACTGAAACCCTTGGTGGAGTTGAGTCGTGAGCCCACACGTGAGGGAATGGTGGTCAGGGAAGCTCTCAAGATTCTGGACATTTACCTACGTTGGAGCAAGCTCATCCTGTCAGTGTCTCGGGGTGGTGATATATGGAGGGCCTTAAAAGAAGTAAGTGTAATAATAATAATAATTAATGGTTTATTGAAAAAGTTCAGCAGCCTGAAGGCTGAAAATATACATTAGACAAAAATTACTTATAACAAAAACATGGGGTAGGTGGGTCGTTTAACAAAAGTTTTCATTACTAAAAGAAGAAGGAACATGAACATACAAACTATTGTAGTTTGCAGTTGATGGCCCAGGCTGGTCTCTTAACCTACTGTGTGAGGTCTCATGGGCCATGTGTGTGTTTGGGCAGTGTTAGAAATAGGGCATTGTATTTGGGGGTCAAAATTGGCTGCAGAGAATCACCATGTACACATGTACCCCAACAATATAGGCATTTGCTAGGAGCTTGTATGCCAAGGATTAGTGTTCATGCTATTTTCTTAGAGTGAATGTAATTATATCAACTAGAAAGGTATTTTTGTGCATAATATAAAGCAAGATTAATGAAAATAGTTCATACAATTGAACAATTGTAAAGACACTGTATGTTCTCACAAAATGTCAACAACCAATGATAGTCCATATTGCAAATTGTATGCGAATACGGTACACCCAAAAAGCAGCCTAAAAAATTCCCAAATATTTGCTGAGTTGATCAGAGGCACCAGTGATAACACATAGATCTCTCACCAATATCTGTCCCCTTGAACAGCACATTTCTATGGGTTCCATGTAGACTTGGGTGGGTCAAACACCCCCACACCCTTCCCCTCCCCTCACTATGAACACTATCTATGTGTGTGTGTGATCATAATTTTAAATAGATGAGCTTCCAAAAATATCTTCATTTAAGTTCTTGGATGATAATGTTTGGTTGTAGGCGTAGGTAGATATTTATACTGTATGTAGTACAGTACGTGTATATAGCCAGAAAGATACATATTTACAGTATTCAGTAAAATCATCATCCATGTTTGCGGTTAGTTCAGCTTGTACAGTACCGTACCTGAATGATAATTGCCAGTAGTGATAACAATATCTAATGCCAATGTATGTCTTGCATTTTTTCTTTTTTTAGGCCTATGATGACAAGCCAGTTGTAATTAAGTTCTTTGAGATGGTTCAGAATCTGCCAGAGTTTGTGATAGAGTATATCAACTTCTTTGGAAACTATTCTGTGGTAAGAGATACAGTACAGTAATTTTTTTTATTATTTTAGAAATTAGTTCACCAATCACCAGCACTAGATGTAGATAAAAACTATCCCCATATTTTACTGTGAATATTGTTAATGATTTTAAAACTGAAGATAGAAAAATATTTGCCATTGAATTTGTTTTAAGTTATTTTCCATTTGTTAATTACTAATCCCTTTACTGAAGAAATTTCCAAGACATAAACAATAATAAATCTGTATGTACCCATAAAATTAACTTCCATTTTATGCAAAACAAATATTCTAGGTACTGTACATTAATTACCTTCCTAACCTCAATAATATGTTTTCACTCATAAATTATGATTAAATCTTTTTGGTACACGATCATGAACACAATAGATAAATTGATATTTGTATTCCATTTGAATAATAATAAAATATATAAGAAATACATAAAAAATTCCAAACAAAGACACACTGTGACCATGTGTGTTGTGCAGACATGTAAGCGGTCAGAACCTTCAGGATAACATACCTAGAAAGAAGGAAGTTTAAATATATGGTGTGGTATTAAAAGTTGTATACCTTGTGACAATCACTATCAAAGGGTTAGGATGAGAATGTTAAAATTTAATTAGGAAATATTGTTTTCTATTTCTATCATTAAACACGATATTGTGTAGTTAATGAATACCAATCAGTTCCACTCTCAATGGTCTCATAAGGGAGAAAGGGTGTCCTCCATTGATGCCGAAAGTCCGTTAAATTCGGGTTTCACTGTGTTTAAACCTGTTCCCCACAGATGGCTCATGCTGTACTGCTACATCGAGACACTCCCTGCAACCTACATCTCTTCTTGCTTGATGGTTACTATAAGCAGCAGCTGGGAGATAACGTGTCCACCATACTGACGGAGGTGCTGGAGTTTGTGTGTGATCCCCACCAGATAAGACTCTTGGGTCCTCAGCTCCTCCCTGACTCTTCACCAGTTATTGCTGTCAGTTTATTGAAGGTTTTTGTATCTGTGTGTTCATAGATGTGTCAATGTCTGTTAATAATATCTGTTATTATTAGGTTACCCTAGACAGCATATGATCAAATATTTTTGCAAGAATAAATATTACATGACCGGGAAAAAGAAAATTTTTATGAAAGATTGGCATTTTTTTTTTTTTTTTGTGGTAAGCAAAGTTATAGATGATAATGGTAAGTAGCAGATATTTGGTGCAGTATTGATTGTTTGGGTAGTTACTAAACACTGGATATCATATGTCACTACTTTTTATTTAATCTTTTCCACAGAATGTAACCATGGAGGTGGATGCAGCCATGCTCGCCCTCCTCATTGATTCTATAGGATGGGATGTTGTGTACTTTGTTAACGGCACCTTCTATGAGGGCGACCTTCAAGCTCCTTCTTGGATGGACAGCCACAAGTGGGAAGAAGTGCGAGTTAAACTGAAGAACCTGTTTGCTGTGTATGTAAATTGTTGATAATTATTACAAAAGAATCGGTTCTCTCTCTCACACACAGACACTACTACTACAGGTTGACTATCAAAAATCCGGCAACCTCGGGACCTGAGGAGTGCCGGATTTTCGAAAATGCCGGAAAACTGATGGTTATATTTGCTGTATAAGTTTAACAGAAAATGACTACCGTATATCACGGCCTATAAGACGAAATTTGAACATTAAAAAAATCTGCCCAAAGTTAGGGGGTCGTCTAAACCACCAAGTTTAAAATTCTTACCTCTTAAATATTGTGGTTTAGTGTGTCAAGAGTGGTGATGAAAACATCGTAAGCCACTCACAAGGTCTTACCACTAATTATTTTATACTGAAACTTACGTTTGGCAAGCTGGATTCAAATTAAGATTACCGGTATATTAAAATAATAAAAATGTATTATAAACCTGTCTAACATACCGTAAAAGAGATTTATACCCCTATAATAAACACAGCTATCATCACACACCCCTCCCCACGCCCCCCCCCCATTTGCCAGTGAGGAGCCGTGGAGGTGGTCAGTAATGCATACCGGTATCGGTATATTTACTCATAATAATATTTATCTCCTATAAATAATTGATTTAAATTTTATTTTTTTCCAAAGAATATTCAGTAAATGAGTGCATTAATTCTTGAAACTATCGACGGTTAATTACAGACGCTCAAGTGACGTCACTAGTGTTTACACTACACCAGCTGGTAATATTTGATGCCATTACTTGAAGTGAATTGGCCTTATTTTAAGTAACTAACTATAAATAAATACAAAAATTAAAAAAAAGATCAAAACTGAGAAATAATATACTGTATGTATGTTGTGTTGTCAAAGTAAGAGGAACAATTGTGTAAGTACGTAATATTTTTTCACTCAAATCCTAATGAAACACTACTGGAGAACATTCCTTTGTCGCAAAACAGTTTATAAATTAAAGAAAATAATTACAGTGTGTTTAATATATTACAGTATATTATAAATAAATAAATAAAACAAATAATTCGGTAAATCTATTTAAAGTAAATGGAAAATAAGCAAACATGTTATTTACCAAGACCCTTCCGTCTGGCTCAGGGTGAGATGTAGGGGAGATAAAGAAGGCTATTTATAGCCCATCAGAAGTGACCAGTACCCTAATGCACCATAAATAATTCATTGAACATTCATTTTTTGTACATAGTATATTCAGTATATATATATATATATATATATATATATATATATATATATATATATATATATATATATATATATATATATATATATATATATATATATATATATATATATATATATATATATATATATTTGTGTAATAAATGTATGTAGTAAGTACATACTGGTAACCTTTTTCACTCAAATCCTAATGAAACACCACAATTAGAATACGGTGGTTGCTGTTGAACCACATGTTGTATAAATAGTCACACCACCGAGACGAGGGAACACTCCCACCACGCTTCAGTGACGTCACTAGTGTTTACACTACACCAGCGGGTATAATTTGATGACATTACTTGAAGTGAATTGGCCTTATTTTAAAAAATCAAGGATGGTTGGTAAAGGACTACTGAGTCAGTGGGTAAGTGTCACATTTGGGGTACTGGTCTTATACAGCAAATAGAGCTCAAAAGCTACTTTTTAAATGGAAATTTGGGGGGGGCGTCTTATGCACCCCGCCGCCTTATAGGCCGTGATATACGGTACCTGTACAGTCCTTTATACAAAGAAAATTAAACATTTAAGTTAGGATAATATAATTGACATTGCTGGATTCCTTGTAAGACCAGGAATATTTTGAATATAAATGTCATATATTTTGCACAAAAGATAACATATTTACTCAGAGTAAACATTACGTATATCTAAAATTTGTATGTCTAATGCAAAATCAATGATGTTTATATTCAAATTGATCATCAAATTGTAAGAATTCCAGCAATGTAAATTATATTCTGGCCGGGTAATTTGTATGAATTTTATGAGCTAAAACATATATCTTCATTAAATAAACAAAGAAATATTTGAAAATGCGCTCCGAAATTCATGCCGGAAAACTGAAGGTTCCGGTTTATCGATTGCTGGATTTTTGATGGTCAACCTGTACTACTACTTTGCTGTCACTCAGCAGTTTCAGCTTAATAAGCCTTATTAAGTGATGTATTTTTTAAATTGGATCACTTTAATCTCTGATGATCTTTGATTTAATTTTTTTTTTTACTTATTTTCATTAATTTAGTTTTGTATATTAAGTGATGCTGGACTGATGTTTAACTGTGTAAAGAAATTATTCCCTCTGACTTGTCTCTTTTCCTTTTATAGTATATATTCTCTCAGTCTCATACTAACACTTTTCATTACATTGTTATCGCTTCAGGCCAATTAAGAGGATGGTGGCAGGCGCTATAGGCTTGGGGCTGAACGCTTTCGGAGCGTACCTGGGTGACGGCTACATGGCATCGGTGATAGGCCCGGTGTACCACTTGACAACTCGTCTCACGGAAAGCATTAATCGTACTAGCCTTTTTATTTTTGTTTTACTGTACTATACTGTATCTATGATAACTTATTCCTCTTAAATGCTCTTTGCTGATGGGATGGCCATGACAGAAGAACCTCCAGGCCTGTTACTACTACAGGTAATGACCCTTATATGATAGATCAATAGATGTTCGATTAGTTATACGGTGAAAAACGGTTGACACCATTTAACACTGCGATGACTTAAGATCAGTTTTACGATGGTCACTACCTGAATGATTTTCCTGCATTATCACCGCTATGGAAAAGTGATGTGCAATAACTCGCAATATTCCGAGATGTGATGACGCAATCTCGGAATGTCGTAACACATGTGACCCACGCGGGAAGCGGGGGAGGTTTTGCCTGTCCTCGATGATTGCCGTGCTAAGCAGTTGAACGTGTCACATCGCCTAGATGATGGCTTACATGTGGAAGAAGCTATTCTTTGTACATAAGATAATATATACTGTACCAGTAAATGTAAGGAATAGATAAAATAATATTAATAAATAAAATACAGTAAGTCCTCGTTTAACGTTGTACCAGACAACGTGGCTTCGTTATAACGTCACTACTCTTTAGATACTTTTGATTCCGACAACGTCCCGACCGATTCGTTATAACTTCGTCACCCAACACAGATTACTTTGTATGGCGCATCACCCTCTCTCATCTTGGCGTGCTACGCTCTCTCGCGGAGAGTCACAGCGTCCCCAAGCGTCCCCAGTTTTTGTTAGGCTTAGAAGAAGGTAAATCAGGACAGTCCGTCCTTCGTAAAGATCTTCAAGAGTGAAGTGCTTCCCCATCTGGAGTACTGTCACCCCGTCTGGTCCCTGAGATATGCTAGGGACTGTCAGTTGGTTGAAAATGTTCAAAGGAGGGTCACCAGACTGGTGCCTGCCCTTCGGTACCTCAACTACCCTGAGAGATTGGAGCGCCTGAACTTGCCTTACTTGGAGCTGGCGGACGCTCGCTCCACAAGGGGTCACAGCTGAAGATTGAAAAAGCTTCAAGTCCAGAAAACTGTGAGGGCAAACTTTTTTGGAGTGAGAGTTGTGAACTCTTGGAACAATTTGCCAGAAAGTGTTGTGACGGCACTGAGTGCGAGTTCCTTCAAGACCAGACTTGACCAACACTGTAGCAGGTTCAGGTACATTCACGAGCCGGTGCATGCCTATACCTGCCAACAGTGCGTAACAGAGAGCCAGTACTTGCCAACAGTGCGTGACAGAGACGTGGCCGATCGCCCAAGCGGCTAACGAGCCAATCAGTGGTGAAGAGGATAAAAGAAAAAAAGGCTTTCACCGTGTATGTGCGTGCTTAAGTGTTTTTCTCTCAATACTGCACTGTAACCTTTCAAAATGGCTCCCAAGCACCCATCAAGTGTTAGTGATGCTAGTGTTGTGAAGAAGCAACGCAAGACCATTAGCCTTGCTACGAAATTGGAGGTTTTAAAGCTCCGGGTCTCAGTGACGTGCCACCCTCCTCCTCTCCACTACCCACCACACACTCACTCCACCTCTGCCCATCAGTGAGTACAATACAAAATAATTTAGTTTATTTATCTTTTTAGATGTATAATATATATTTTCTATAAAAATTCCATTGAATTTATGTACGTATATGTAATGTATTTTATGGGCTAAAGGTAGGCTGGGGAACGTAACTAGCGTATTTTATCTATTTCTTAAGGGGAAAATTTATTACGCAAATGTTGTTTCCGTTAACGTTCTATTTTCAAGAACATTACCACGACGTTAAACGAGATTTACTGTAAAAGAAAAAATGCATTGCCATTAGGCAGTCTTGTGACTACCCCAAGACAGCAGAGCCGTGAGAGAGCCTCTCCCACACTAGTGTCTTGTTCTACCTCCCACACTAGTGTCTTGTTCTACCTCCCACACTAGTGTCTTGTTCCCCACTCTCCCCCCACTAGGCACTGGTCTTCACCTCCCCCCCACCAGCGTCTTGTTCACCCACCAGTGTCTCTGTTCTACCTCCCCTCACCAGTGTCTCTTGTTCTACCCTCCTCACCAGTGTCTGTTCCCACCTCCCTCACCAGTGTCTTGTTCCCACCTCCCTCACCAGTGTCTCTGTTCCCCACTCCCTCACCAGTGTCTTTGTTCCCACCTCCCCACTAGTGTCTTGTTCACCTCACCAAGTGTCTTGTCTCTACCTCCCTCACTAGTGTCTTGTTCTACCTCCCCAGTGTCTTGTCTCTACCCTCCCCACCAGTGTCTTTGTTCTGACCTCCCTCACCAGTGTCTGTTCTACCCTCCCCCACTCAGTGTCTTGTTCTACTCCCTCACTCAGTGTCTTTGTTCTACCCCACACCAGTGTCTTGTTCTCACCTCCCTCACCAGTGTCTTGTCTCTACCTCCCCACACCAGTGTCTTTGCCCCACCTCCCCACACCATGTCTGTTCACCTCCCTCACCAGTGTCTTGTTCCCCACCTCCCCCTCACTAAAGTGTCTTGTTCCCACCTCCCACACTAGTGCTTCTGTCTCACCTCCCTCACTCAGTGTCTTGTCTCACCTCCCTCACTCAGTGTCTTGTTCCACCTCCCACACCAGCAGTGTCTTGTCTCTACTCCCTCACCAGTGTCTTTGTCTCTACCTCCCTCACTAGTGTCTTGTTTTACCCCACTAGTGTCTTGTCTTCACCTCCCCACTAGTGTCTTGTTCTACCCCCTCACATGTAGTAAATGTTTGATCCTTTATAATTTTGACCTTAGGATTATTTTATAGGCTTTCTATTTATTTGTATTTTTTTTGCACATTCAGTCTGAACAATTATGTGTGTATGTAACAAGGTAAAGGAAAATGAATTAAAATGTGTACTGTATATCTACTGGAAGTTACGAGTTGAAAACAACACCACCATCACTCACCACCATCACTCACCCCACCATCAATTCCCCAACACCACAATCACTCACCTCAACACCACTAACACCACCATCAATTCCCCAACACCACACCATCACCAAAACCATCACTCACCACCATCACTCCCCAACACCACCATCACTCACCACAATCACTCACCACCATCACTCACCACCATCACTCCCCAACACCACCATCACCCCCACCACAAATCCATCATTCCCCAACACCACCATCACTCACCACCACAACCACTCCCCAACACCACCATCACACTCCCCACCACCATCATCACTCCCCACCACAAATCCATCACCCCCACCACAACCATCACCACCACCACCACATCACCCCACCATAACCACACTCCCCACCACATCCATCACCCCCACCACTACCATCACCCGCCACAACCATCACTCCCCACCACCACCATCACTCCCCACCACAAACCACACTCACCACCACATCCATCACTCCCCACCACAACCATCACTCCACCACCACCATCACTCCCCACCACAACCATCACTCCCCACCACAAATCCATCACCCCCACCACAACCCACTCCCACCACCACCATCACTCCCCACCACCACCATAACTCCCCACCACAACCATCACTCACCACCACAACCATCACTCCCCACCACAACCATCACTCCCCACCACAACCATCACTCCCCATCACTCCCCACCAAAACCATCACTCCCCAACACCACCATCACTCCCCACCACAACCATCACTATACTGTATGTTCATTTATTATTTTTTTTCACACATTCTGTATGAACAATTGTTTGTGCATGTAACAGTATATCTACTCGAAATTATGATTGAAAAATAACAATAACACAGCCTTACCTGGGAGAAGGAGGGGTAAGGCAATATAGCTACAGTGACATCTAACTTGGTGACCTGCAAAGTTCACCCACACACTGTTCATGTAAAGGGCTCAGGAACAAAACCTATTTTTCCCCATAATTTATGCCTCGTTACCTGTTTTTATCTGTCTGCTGTACCGTCTTGATGTGATCTTATCCATTTGATCTCCCGTGACTTTTTCAATAGAATTAGGTGTGTATGGGATTCTCTGACATTAGCCAAGTAAAATATTAAAAGTAGCATCCCTGTAGTGAAGGGGTTAAGAGGCAAGATTTATTAAATCCTTATACCATGTACAGTACAGTACAGTATTTAATAAATTATTTTCCTTTGAACAATAAGACTACTAAACAACAGAAAAAATTGAAAACACAAGACAAATTCAGGTTTCTTTTGTTTTCTTTTTCAGGCATTGACTCCATGAAAATATATCTGTGTTGTTTAAGTCTTTCGTGTACAGTCGGCCACAGTTCCACCTGTTACAGTGGTTGGCTTTGTGTTTGTTTACATCATAGAAAAACTCCCGGAATGACTCTAAAGAACTTCATAATAATAATCAGACTAAGAATGCTAAATAAGTACAGGTGCTCCTCTACTTAAGAATGTTCAACTTACAAACTTTCAGAGATACAAACATCATCATTGAGGGGGTTACCTGCCAGAACAGGTGTTTAATGTGGATGAGACTGGATTATTTTGAAGAAATTCCAGATAGAACAAACATTACCTAAGAGGAGATGAGTGAGCCAGGTTTTAAGGCTGTATTAAAGGGTATAGCTGTACTAAATATCCATAATCTTTTCATTTTTTACAATATGTTTGGTAACTACATGAGTAAAGATGGACTTACAAACAATTGGACTTACAAACAAGCCTCGGGAACGCAACTAGTTCATAAGTAGAGGAGCACCTGTATTCACCTCTATCTCTGAATGCAAGAATTTATGGCATGGTTATAGGTTTATCATGGTATGTGATGTGATGTGAGTAAGGTTGGTGATGGTAGCAGGATTGATCTTCATATTGCTCAGAGCCATCATGAGTTATTCATACAGACACCTAACTTGATATTGGTCAGTTAGAGTACAGATAAGTCAAATATCCGTTTACCTTGGAGGTGAGCTTAGATATAAGTTTTGAAATTTAGCTAAACTTTATTATATCCAGGTTTGACAAAAAAGTTTGCATGAACAGTATGAATGTTATTCCCATAATAAGAAGACTGGGTCCAATATTTGTTTGGGGGGGTTTATCCCAATGTTCCCTAAAACCACATAAAAAATATAAGCATTCACAGATTGGGGACACATTACTAGACACGACAGTATGTCAGTGCACCTCTCTCCTACTTGGTGAAGAGAACCCACACCCCTTCCTCTCCTTATATCACAACACTTCACCACACTGCCACTGTCTAACAGATAGGAACCAATGATGTTCTGTTTTGTAACCTGTATTAAGACTATAACCATACAATAAATGTTTGCATTCAGAGATAGAGATGGAATGCTTATTTAGCATTCTTAGTCTGGTTATTATTGTGAGGTTCCTTAGGACCATTCTGGGAGTTTTACTTTGATGTCAACAAACACAGAGTTATTACATCTCACAAAATGCACCAAATGCACAGGTGGAACTGTGGGCGACTGTACATGGTGTGTAGGTTTAAAAATTTCAGGGGTGAGCGTCCACAGCTAATAAGTTAGGAGAGGAGTTAACTTTGTATGTTTTGGACAGGTTCAACTGGAATTCTTGACACTAATATACTGGTGGCTGGGCTGGGCGCTGTGAAGGAGATGCATGATCTGGCCATCCCGAGGTTGTCCAGACTGTTGGGTCTTGCTTTATGGTTCCCAGAATCGAAGGTGAGTCTTGTGTTCTAATTGTTGGTAGTTGTGTGTGTTTGTTTGCAGACTCTCAAGTTTAATTATTCCTCAAGCTTATAGAGTTTAAAGAAGAAAAAGAATTAAATGGGTTCATTGTTGTTTGTGTGTTTCATAAATGACAGGCCAGAAGCTATACACTCCTTCATACAAATGTTTGCTGGCATTGTCAAGTTATTCAGGGAAGATTAGAATCAAACTGACTGTGAAGAGCTGCAGAAAGATCTGTCAGTTTCAACAGAACAGAAAAACAGCATTAACAGAGACCGAATGTGAAAAGGACCTGGGTGTGTATGTGGACATTAAACTGAAGTTTGTTGGTCTTGTAGGAAGGTCGTTCAGATATCTAGATGGACCATCTCTCATAATGCTCTCCAAGAGTGAGGTGCTTCCACATTTAGAGTACTGTCACACAGTCTGGTTCCTGAGATATGCTAGAAACTGTCAGTTGATTGAAAATATCCAAAGGAGGGCCATCAGACTGGTGCCTGCATTACGGCCCCTCAGCTACCCAGAGAAATTAGAGTGCCTGCAACTGCCTAACTTATACTATAGGTGAGTAAGGAGTGCCTTAATCGAAGTTTATAAGGAACAATCTACCAGAGAGTGTTATGACAGCACCGAGTGTGAGCTCTTTCAAGACAAGACTTGACGAACACTGGAGCGGGTTCAGGTACATTCAGGAGTCGGTGCATGCCCAGTATTTGCCAACAGTGCGTGACAGAGACGTGACTGATCGCCCAAGCGGTTAGCAAGACGATCAGCGGCGAAGAGAATAAAAGGTATCTCAGACAACATTACTCAGTTGAGTGTTCATACCTGGAGTTGGCAGATGCCCGCCCCTTTAGGGGTCACAGCTTAAAGTTGAAGAAGCCACAAGTTCAGAAAATTGTTAAGGCAAAGTTTTTGGAGTGAGAATTGTAAACTTCGGTACAACCTGTCAGAGAGTGTTGTGACAACACCGAGTGTGAGCTCATTCAGGACCAGACTTGATCAATGCTGGTGCCCAGTATTTGCCAACAATGCTTTACAAAGGCTTGACCAACCACCCAAGCAGCTAACAAGCTGATCAGTGGCAAAGAGGATAAAAGTAAAAGCAAGACATTTTCGAGAAAGATAAACAAGATAAAATTTAAATTTCTATCATGTACGGTACACACAGATCCTTGCTTTGTGCAGGATTGAACCTGTGTTTCAGTGGTTGTGAGTTATGGGCACTACTAACTGAGCCATGAAGCCCTATGGATATAACAAAGGAAAACTGGACAGTTTATTGACCAAAAACTCTATTCATATGCATTACTGTATTTAGTGCTCATGGAGCTTCCCCACCACATCCAGTAAGAGCAAGATGTTTGTGTTTTAGAAGCAGAGTTAGAGTGTGAGAAGTGGTTAGACATGATGGAATGGCTTCCTCTCACCCTTGTGTCCCAGGATCAATCCCCAGATCAGCTGTGAGAAGGTTCATATCTTGTGTGACCCTGTCAAGCATCACAGGTTTGCTCAAGGAATTTGTTTCATCCTTCAATAACAATGGGTAGTGAAGGTCATTACAAAGATCAGACCGACCACCCAACAGCTTGTGAACTGATTATTGGTTGAAGAAATAAAGTGCAGGGATAGAGTACAGGTTGAACCTTGCTAATCCGGGTAGCTTGGGACCAGACCCGTTCCTGATTAGCGAAAATTCTGCACCATCGAAGCTGGGGTTAAAAAGAGGCAAAATAATGCATGAAATGTACTATTACTGGTACCAATGCAACGGACATCAGCACAAATATAGCCCAGGCTTACTGGCCCTCTTTATGACAAAGTGTTAGTGCTATGGCACAATTTTACTGTACATGTACACTGGACCCTCGCTATAAAGCGGATTCACTGTACTGTATATTCGAATTCGCATTTATGTACAGAACTAAACAAAGAATTTATTTGAAATACTCTAACATTCAATGTCATAATATCCTGACCACTGGGGTTTGTTATACAGACTTTTCCTTGTGAAAAAGCCACAATTTTGAGTTACATATTACAGTACTGTACTACTCACTTTGTAATCAAATGTACATGTACTAAGCTAAAGGACTAAAATTTTATCTTTTGTGCAAACTATGAGCTGTTTATACTCAAATTAATTGCTATCTTGCAAGGATCCCAGCAATGCAAGTTATATTCTGCTAAATTAAATCTGTGACATTTTTGAAGAGAAAAACTTTAAGCCTAAAACCACCTTCACCCTCTAAAATCCTTATTGCTTTCTGTCTGGGGGGAGGGTGAGTTGAGTTGTTGACAGTCAGGAGGGGAGATTACTGGGTGCATAGTTATCAGTGGAGGGGGAGGGATCAGGATCTCTGGACTAAATTACACAGGACAGTGAGTTTAAGTTTTATGCTTATAAAATGTCACTGGCTTGACTTTCAGCAGAATATAACTTCCATTGCTGGAATTCTTGCAAGATAGCTATTAATTTAAGTATAAACATCCCATAGTTTGCACTAGACAAAAAATTTTTAGTACAGGGGGTCCCCGACTTATGAACGTCCGACTTATGCCCGCCCGCCGATACGAACGAGGTTAAACTTGAAATTTACTGTACTGTATTTTACTTACCTAATAACTTATATTTTACTTTCATTTACTGTATTTTGTCATTCTGTCTTCTTTTGTCTAAAATTAATTGATTTTAGATGCATATAAAGACTTAGGCTATGATATAGTGGGATTTTAAACATTGTTCTGTAAGTACTGTATGCACATACCATGTGTTCCTACTTACGTATAAATCTGACTTTAGAACGTCCTCAGGAGCGTAACCCGGGGACCCCCTGTAATGATTTGTCCACAACTTTTATAGCATTACAATATTGTTTTACATTTAGTAGTTTATTTTCCCCATAAGATTAAGTATTCATTATTTGCGTCCCGAACCATCGAAGCTGCTTGACTATCAGGTCCCAGATTAGCGGGGTCCACCCTGTACTTGTCTATGGTATTTTGTGCAAAGAAGAGGTAATAGTTAGCTGATATACAATGTAGGTTATGTATCTAAGCTACTGTGCCGAGTAGCATCTATGTATATAATTACGTGGCAACACTGCACATGTTATGTGGCAACATTGCCCCGAGGCTGCCATATGGCAAGGCAGTCTCAGTCTGACTCCGAGCCTCGTGCAAGGCACACGCTAGTCACTACTTGTATTTCTCCTATCCATTAATAAATGGACTTCAGTGTTACCCGGTGTTTCCCTACCCATCACTGCCTTCTTCAGGGAACACTTGGAACATTCATGGCGCAGTGAGTAGGATCTGTGGAAATACAAGTGGTGACTAGCGTGTGCCTTGCACGAGGCACGGAGTCAAACTGAGACTGCCTTGCCATATGGCAGCCTCAGGGCAATGCTGCCACATAACACGTGCAGTGTTGCCACGTAATTATATACATAGATGCTACTCAGCACAGTAGCTTATATACAAGGTTGCTACTCGGCACAGTAGCTTAGATACATAACCTACATACAATATAAGAAAATGTTGAACGCCCAGTTAATATCTGGAGTGCAACTATGTAAAACAAAATACAGTATTGAACCAACATGTGAGACAGAGATTGATGGTCTCAGCAGTATAACCATATCTGTTGTATACCAGTGAAACGTTGGAGTATAATAAGATTATAGTTATAGTATACTGTAAAAGGAAATTCACATCCCTTGAAATAAATATTATACTGTACTGTAATGACAGAATTATAGCCCTTGACATAATTAATTGAGGTAGTTGCTGGCTTGAGAGTACTGTGTAGAAAGAAGAAAAAAGAAACCAAAGTACAGTACAGTACTATAAAATAAGATAAAGGGAGGTAACAAGTAAGTTTAGGGCAGTCTAGTGGTTGGAAGAGACAAGGGAAGACCCACTGAAAGAGATTATGTGAGGAGGGAGCTGAGTAGGGGAAGATATTGTACAAGACCAAAGGTGGAGAATAAAGTTTGTGTGAGGAGGATCTTACTGGGTAAGTAAATAGAAGTAAAGAAAACTCATGGTAAGCGAAGAAGAGTTAATTTACTTCTCCTCTTGGGTAAGTGAAGATGTCGCAAATAGATAAAAAAAACATATAAATCAGTTACAGATGACAGTATTGTATTGTCAGTCTGACTGTACAAGTTAGCCCTACACTGTACAACATCATTGCTGGCATATACTGTAGATACTGTATTTGTTTTATTCAGAGAACTGTGTCAAATATTAAAATATCCATTTTGTTGTTGGTTTAGATATGTATATTATTCATAGATGTCTCGTACATGTATGCATACAGTTTTATGGTTTTATAGAACTGTTACAGTTAATAAGAGCTTCAATATGTTGCAGGCATACTACAGTTTAGTGTCAGGAGTGGCTCAATCTGCGGTGAGAAGAGAGATGTGTCGGGATGGAGTGGATAAGTTCCTCTTTCACCCAGGACTTGATGAGGAAGACTGGAAAGCTTTGCAGAAAATGCTATGCTCCTACAATTACCTGGATGTTTATAAAGGTGTCCAGCCATTGTTTAACACATCAGATATCATGAGTGGAGTTGTGAGTATCAAGACTTATGTTGATTTTTGTCCTGTCCTGTGTTGGCATTTTCTAATATACGTAGATATCTTCAGTAACCACCAATACCTGTAGTAGAGGTCTAATCATTTATATTTGTGGCCATAAGAGGTAAAGCCATGATGGGTTTATACCTCTCTGGAGTGATGCTTTATCAGGTACACAGTGAGACTTTGTGCTGTGTGGCAGTGTGTTTCTTGGGTTGGCATATACAGTACAGTGGCTCAGTCATATACAGTATAGGTAAGAGTTAACAAACATTATTATCATATCCTGAAGAGAGCAGCTCACTTTTTATGTTTTTAAGGTCAGGTACTGTATTAACAGAAATAGAATTTTATCTTATAGACTCACAGAAAGTTTCTTATATTTGCAGACCATTGACTGGATGAAAGTGTACTCAAACCTAAATCGCTTTATGGACAAAATTAGTTTGGTGGATCCCTGGCAGCTACAAGATTTTTTGATCAAAACTCCGCACATGATGGGAATGAGGAATTTAACTACTGTGCAGAAGTAAGATTCATAAATTTATACATAATATTACATAGTTCCGTAGATGTATTTACTCATATATAGTTGGTCGTTACGTGTCCAGTACAGGAATACCTCGATATTCGCAAACCTGCTTTTTCACAATTAATATTTTAACATTTATATTCAATATTCAAAAAGCCTACCCTACTTACTTACAAAATGAATTAAAAAAATAATACCCATGGAGAAGGCATGTTGCTATAAATAAGAAAAAATTAAGAACATGGGTGTGTATGTGTGTGAAATTAATGTTTGTGTGGACTTGGCATGTCACCAAGTTAGACTGTACATCCACCTACCAGGCCAAGCTGTGTTACTATTATTTCTCAACATGTAATTTCAGGTAGATAAACATAATTTTGCCATTTTTTTCTTTGTTACATGCACACATAATCGTTCATACAGAATGTGAAAAAAATAAAAACAAAAGAAATGATTATCGTAAGATAACTCCATGGGAGTTAGTGCACAGATAGTGAGAGGAGGGGTGCAGTGTCAGGCCTCCCCCTACCAGGCCAAGCTATGAGCTTCATTATTATTTTTTTCAATTCATAATTTTGGGTAGATATACAGTAGGCTCTCACCAATAACGTCCAATAGGTGCCTGAAAACACCGTTATTAGCGAAAACGTTATTTGTGTGATATTAAAATACATGTAAAAAGGGTTTATTGGTGCTGCTGCCACAAGAATTTCACCCATTTTTTCCCTTAGAAGCCCTGCTTAACGGTTTTTGTTAGCCGAAATAAAAAGAATTGTTATTCAATCATCAAAATAAAGAGTTTGAGTAATATAACACTTAGCTTGGGGGAGTTTTTGAGGTGCTTGGTGTGATGGTTGTTCCGTATCTGAGGGCCGCTAACACTTGCACTGTCTTTCATTCTACAAGCTAACCATTTCACAAGAAAATGCTCTGTTATCACTAACAACCTGTTTCTATCACTTTTATCATTCATAGCTCGCCTCGCATTTCCATCACTACCGAAATATTTTTAGCCAGCGCAATACTCTTCTTGGTCTCCTCTAAGTTCCTCTTAATATTTCGCACTGTAGACTCAGGACAGTTCAATTTCCTCACAATATCAATGTTCCGTGCACCACTTTCATTGAGCTCAACAATCTGTTCTTTATCCTTGACCGAGTAGGCACACTTCTTGTGGCTTTGTCTCTTAGCTTTGGGATCTTTTTTCTTATTCACTTTAAAAGTTCCTGGGTGTTCAGATGGCAAATCACTCCCTCCACCACCTCCCCTAGCCCCCACAGGCAAAAATGCGGAAGCCATTATTGATCACCAACCCTAACAACCACTGGTTATAGAAGCGAAAACCTCACACGTGGGCGCAGCGCTGTATTCCACGGAGCGTGTGTGAGAATGAGGCGGAGCGGACAACTACATCATCAACATGGCGGCAAACAAATGCTATCATTGATGCGCTCGGACGCTTCCCACAAAATCTCTGTTATTTAAGAGAATACAGAAGTTATTATCGAAAATGGGTATCTATTGTAACTTACCGTTATTGTCGAAAACGTTATTGTGGAAGTCGTTATTGGTGAGAGCCTACTGTATGTAATTTTTTATTTATTTTTTTATTATTAAATACATACACAATCGTTCATATAGAATGTGCAAAAAAAAAATCACAGGGTCAAAACGTAAAGGGAATAAAAATTTCTTATGTGCACAGGAGGGAGCACATGGATCATGGGAGGAGGAGAAAGGAGCAGTCAGTATGTTTTCTTTTATTTTATTTATTAGTATAATTGTTATTTATTCCTCACATTACTGCTACTACTGTACACATGACCCTGGTCCCTAATAGCCTCAAATAATAAGGAGTGTACTATATTGAAAACTACTGTATGTGGTGAAAGTTGCTGGCTGGGAATGCATCACACCTTAATTACATTGATTCTTATGAGGAAAATAGCCCTGATATTTGCAAATTCATTATTTGCAATGATTTTTAGGAACACATCATTTGCAATAACCAAGGTATTCCAGTACTTGCCAACACTGCGTAACAGAGATGTGACTGGCCGCCCAAGCGGCTAGCGAGCCAATCAGTGACGAAGAGGATAAAGGTAAAAGTAAAAATATTCTCCAACAGAGAAGCTGATGTGGAAGTTACAATAGTCTTTATAACTATAAATCAGTGTCTTATACCCTATCTAGCAAGACATATCAGCAGCTGGCTCACCCCATTTGTATCCAGGTCATTACTTAACATACACTTCAGTCCATTGCTTATACTTTCACCTCTCTTACTGTTCCATTGAGGAAGATGTTGAACAGTTTTTGGCTTTATCCAATACATTTTGTATGTGACAGTTCTACTGTGTGTGAATCAGTCTCTTTCTTCCCAACAAACTCTGACACTTGCATCACTTTACCTAAGAACTCAGGACAGTATTCAAGACTTTCCCAGTTACTCTGTATGGTTCAATACTTCTCACACTGGTTTTCAATAGTGTCTTTCATGCTTTTACCAGATCTGTGGATACCACAAATAGATTTTCCCTTTTCCAAAAATGCTTTGGAAATCAATGAATAGTTTAGTAAAAAAAAGCAAAAACAAAAAATTATTAAAATCAATAAAAAGACAGGATATGGGGGGAAGAAGAAACTAGTTTCGTAATTATTTGCATTAAAAATATGATGGGCAGGAAGATGATTTTTTTTAGCCTTTTGTGACACATTTTCATAGTGGTACAAAACATTTTGTATTGCCAATGTTTTGTCATATTTTATATGGTCTTCACATTTAACTTGTATAAAATTTTATCATTATATTCGCCATATAAAAACAAACATCTACTTCCCTTTGTTACAGGTATGTTCGTGGGATATTCATTGGCATGTCGGCCCTTCAGAAGTGGATGTCTGAGGACGATAACCCCGCCAGCAGGCACACCTACGCCCTGGCACTCATAAAGATCAACGCAGCCCTCAGACCCATCACCAAAGATGGTAAGCTAAGAGCTAACTACAAGGTGTAATAAAGTGATCAATTTCCAAATCAATGTCCTGCCACTCTTGCTCTTACTTAAGGATGTTTTGTGTTCAACATTATTTTGCCTTTAGTTAGCATTTTATTCTTGTTGATTTTATATATCTTGGTCAGTTTCCTCCCAAGCTTTGTTATTGAATAAGGTGATGATGCTACTTTTGCAACATTAGGTATAGGATAAGAAAGATTACTAAAAATTAGATGCCCCAGCTTATTTCACTTGAAAATTAACCACCAGTACTGTGTAATGTGGTGTAAACAATTAAAGAGCAGAGAAATGATTATGGATGTTGTTAAACCCACCAGGAAGTGCCAGCCTGTATGAGAGACTCCTCGACCCTCAGTTGTTCAAACAATTATTGAAAGATTATTCTTATGTTGTCCAAGACATCCAGAAGGAGACGACACAACTTAATCTTCAAAACCAGGTGAGTCACTACTGGTTTTGTTAGCGTGTTAACTTGTGTCATGTCAACTGTACTAACAGTCTAGTTTAGATATTGAAACACCATCCTGTATCTCTTAGTTGTTTACTGCAGTAGACCCTTCCCATTCTCGGTTTTGTGATTCGTGAATTCGACGATTCACGGTAAGCAGATGGTGACTATGGTGGCTAGCTTCCAAGCCTTTTCCTGCAGCACAACGAGTCACCCCACGCAGCATCTCGTGTTGTACTCTCAAAACTTTAGTGTTTCTGTGTGAAATGGCCCCTGAAAGACTGCCGAGTGTCAGTGCTAGTGATACTAGTGGAGTGAAATGTAAAAGGCAAAAGTCAGTGATGACCCTGACAGAGAAACTTTTATTATTAGACAAGTTAAAGGAGGGATGAGTGGTGCCACGGCTGGTCTGTTGTTTGGTATAGGTATACAGTTGTGCACTAAGGTACTACAAATTGCTATTCACGGTTTTGCCTAGTCACGCCATTCCTTGGAACCTATCCCTCATGAATAACAAGGGTTTACAGTACAGTAAGATCTCATATGTCGCGTGATTTCATTTCGCGTTTTTGAATTTCGCGAGCACTACCTAATGTAACCAAGTCTTATATTTGGCGTAAAATATCATGAATTTTGCAAGATCCAGCCAGCTGAATGCTGGCCACCATCTTGAATGACGTCGCAGCCCTCATACCAGTTACAGTCATTTCTGCTACAACGCGTGTTTTGTCAACACGAATTGGTTGCAACACAATTGATGAATAGGGGAAAGCTGTTTGTAAAACGCGAACTTTTGCATACGAATGTTGGCTATAGTGCGATTCCATCCTCAATTTTTTGATTCCATCCTCAACGCTTTAAGCGCGGCGTGGGGTTATGCAATGTTTACGGTTCACGTTCGACATCACATGTTCAATTGATTCTTGTCTTTTGTTTGTGAAGTGTTTTTTGAGAGGTACAGCTCCTCCCCGACTTACGACAGGGTTAGGGACCCAAATCCAGGTCGTAAGTCGAAATGGTCTTAAGTCGAAAATGCTTAAATAATACATAGAAAATCTAAAATGGGTGTCTCTTTTTCTTCTTAGCACCACAAAACTCTCACTTTTAAGCTTGCCAGCCATTTTAAAGTGAATAACAAACGAAAATTTTGTCTGTGTACTGACGTTGGGACTCGAAAATACGTAATTTGACAAAATTTTGGTACGACTGAGGCAGGTCGTAAGTGCGGGTGGTCATAAGTCGAGTAGATCATAAGTCGCGGAGGAGCTATACTCTCAAAAAAAAATTTTTTTTGGGGGGGGGGCAAATTTAGCTGTTAGCCATAAGTACTGTATGAAAAGAATAAGTAAAAAAAAGTTTCGCAGTGAGGACTAGTAACGGTTTACACAAGCGCTCTCTGTTTACATCATGTGATTAGTTGAATCGCGCGGTCTCTGTCAATTACTTCATGATTTTCGCTATTTTCTCCTATTTTGTTCTGTTAGCAGTGAATACGGAAAGACAAGGTAAGAAGAAAGTTTCCAAGAAGTGTTCTGGTGATCAAATTGCCGGTGGTGAATGTAAAAGAGGTTTACAAGAACGCAACTATCAAGTTGTAGCCCGCGCCATCCTAGCGACCGCCCGGGCTGTTATTGTGTGCTTTTTTGAGTGGTGCTACCACCTGTCGAGTCAAGATAATGGCCTCTACCTCTACTGGGGGTCCTACTGGTGCTGGTGGGGGTGGGACAGACACACCTAAGGGGCCAAATAAGGAAAAGGAGAAGCCGGACTATCATAAGGGAGTTGAGTTTGCCCAGTACTCGACGCAGGATAAGCAGCGTGTGATTAAATTACTTGAGGAAGGCCTAAAAACTAGTTTCCGGAAAGCACAATCAGGTCAATAAAGGCTAAATTTGTATCATTTGGAGGTTATAAATGGGAAAATCAGAGGTTGATGTAGAAGGGCCGGTCTATATTGTTATTTTTCCCATTAGTTTATTTATTTGCATTTGGCGAATTTGAATTTGGCGCAATTTTTCCAGTCTATATTACTCGCTAAATACACGACCTCATTGTACATGTTTTCTCCTTTCCCAACAATTGTGAGTAATAAACACACTGTAGTTATTGCAGGTAGTACAGTATTTTTTTTAAGTATTCTCAGGGCTGGATTAACCATTAAGCAAAATAAGCACGTGCTTAGGGCATCAAGGGAAGGGGGGCACCACAGAAATTTTCCATAGCCGGATTTACCATGGACCATGGACCATATGGTGCAAAACTGCAAATGGTGCAGCTGAACCAGGGTTCACAAAAAGAGGCCCACACATTAAATGAAAAAAATACATACATATATATACAATAATAATAATAAATAATAATTATAGAAGTTAATGATATACATTAATCTTGGGGATACAGCACAACAAAATTAGGATCTGGTAACTGCCCCATGGTCCACTGAGGCTCACGGAGATGCACCAGAAGTATATCTGAATGCCAGAGATAAATTTCGTATCACCACCTTTTACACAATTATTGACAAACCTGAAACTGAGATGAGAAGAAGAGGAGAGATATATAAAGAAATAGCAGAGGTTTTCTTTTCTAAGTGATGTGCCACATAATGCCACTTCATCATCTACTGAAATTGAAAGGTATTCTCAGTGCTGTCAAAAGCTGATTGATGCTTACCCAGAGGATTTCAACACTAATTTCTCAGCTGAGCTTCAGCAGTTTCACTTATATGTGCGCCATAAGTTCAGTGCAACAAAAAATGTAAAAACAAGATTCAGTCATGCTGAACTTTGTAAAATGATTGTAGAAGACAATATTGAGTGTGCCTTTCCAAATGTTGATATTGGCTTTCGTATATTTTTAACATTAATGGTCACAAATTGCTCAGCTGAGCGTTCATTTTCTAAGTTGAAGTATATTAAAAATCCCATCAGAACAACTATGCAACAAGGCAGGCTGGATGCCTTATCTCTACTAAGTATAGAAGCAGATGTGTTACATAAGACTAGTTTTGAGGATCTGATCAAAGACTTTGCAATTAAAAAAAGTAGGAGAAAACTTTTCAACTATAAATAAAGTGGACGTATACAAAAATAAACATTATTTTCCATCTTACTGTAAATTTTGTTTAATTTCGAAAAATAACATTTTATTTTATGGTTTATTATTGTTTATATTTTGAATTACATATATATGGGGGGGGGGGCACCAAAATCTTTTAAGTGCTTAGGGCCTCTAAGGGTCTTAATCCGGCCCTGAGTATTCTGATATTAATTTTTAATGGTTCCTGTATTGATTTATCTTGATCAAATAATAGAGATTAAATTGGTCTAAATAGAAAAATCAGAATATTTTCCTCTTTAATCATCAATGTTGGATCGTTATGTTATAAAACTAAAGCCTGCCCGGAGTGGGTGAGCAGAGCGTGGAGTAACATCAGTGCACTAACAAACATATGGCCTTCCGTGCCTCCTTGACTGTCACTGTGGTTGGTGTCATGAGCAAACTACCATCAGTACACTAACAATTCTTTAGAATTTACTAATACAGGTTGACAACCCTTTATCCGAAATTCCGAAAAGCTCTATAATTTTTTTAGTGACTTTTTTTTTAAACAGGATTATTAGCAGAGCACAGATCTTTGATCACATCAGGCCTGAGGGGCTCTAATGTAATACTAATTGTAATAATAATTATTCTTAGTAATGCATATAATAAAAATACACCAAAATAAAATAATAATGATTACAATAACAATAATAATAATAATAATAATAATAATAATAATAATAAAATATAATAATAAAATTAATAATAATAATAATAACAATAATACTGTAATAATAAAATAATAATACAGTAAAGAAATACAAGAATGAAAAAAAGATCAAAAGTGAGAAACACGACCTAGACCTATGTATTATTATTATTATTATTATTATTATTTTTATTATATTTTCGACCTCCAGGCCCCAATGTGGGTCAGTGATCTATGCCCGGGTGGGCTAATACACATTAAAAAAAAAAACATTCTGAAAACCGAAAAATTCCGAAAACCGAAGTGCCTCTGGCCCCAAGGATTTCGGATAAAGGATTGTCAACCTGTAATACTGTAGTGCCTTGGTTTTAACATTGTCATTTAGAAATAGAGTAGACGGCTTGTGTTTTGTCTGGATATGATGGTATTCCTCTCAACAGAAGGATTGGATCAAGTTTTATTTAATTTTTTATGAAATATATGGGATTCATGGCTACCAGGAGGACTTGTATGATGCTCCAGAGAACAAACAAGATAACTACAGTATGCATTCATAGTCCAGTTATCATATACTGTATCTGGTTATCATACACAGTCAGTTCTTCTATGACACATGTTTTCATAGCATGAATTGGTTATAACACGATGAATGTATAAGGGAACATAATTATTTTCTATAACACGAATGCAGTGGATGCAATTTGGATATAATGCGATTGAATAAACAGAACTCTGTCACTCAAGTAGAAATAATGGGTGGTTCCAGGATTATCAATAGGGGGAAGGGATCAAAAAAGTTGTGGGTGGGGGAACATGGAGAACACAGCGAACCCACCTAGCTAGGGTTTTTTGGGGGTGGGGTGCTGTAAGCCCCCCCCCCCCCTTGAAAATTTTTTGAAATCTGACCAATATCATGGGTATTGTAATTTTCTGGTGAAAAGTTTGGGATCAGAACCCCCAGGACCCCCCTGGATCTGCCCCTGAATAAGCGGTTATGCGGTCATGTCGGTGTAGAATCATACAAAGCAGGATGTGCTAGAGATTGTCAATTGATTGAAAATACCCAAAGGAGGGCCACCAGACTGTTAACTGTACTATGGCACCTCAGTTACCCAGAAGGAGTGTAATGCCTGCAGTTGCCAAGCTTATACTCTATGCTTTAGGTGGGCAAAGAATAACTTAATGGAAGTCTACAAACACCTCAGACAACATTACGCAGTCAAATGTTCATACCTGG